CGACACTTCTTTACTTCACCACTCTGCCTTTCAAGACGTCTTCATGAGGCTGGTGTTCAGTTCTACAACCCTAACTGAGGGCAGTCCTTGATCTGCTAAGTTTGGGAGACACTAAGCTAAGCTGAGTATTGGAGATACTACACCAGTATTAAAAAAAAAAGAAACCACATAGATGGAAACTGCACTGTTATTGCTAGGAAACTCTAACCCAATCCTACAGGTCTTTCAGCATCATCAGTGGTAGAGAAAGGATACCTCAATGGCAGGATGTGGTAGAAGGGACAAAGTAGCCACATCAGGTCTTACTACAAGCTCAGGATGTTACGCTTTTACACCTCAAAACTACACCAGGAAAAGCTACTCTGACACAAGCAAGCACAAACTCACACATGCTTATGCACACTTACGGAAAACATGTCTCACCCACAAATATTTTCTACTGGTTTTGACAAGTTGGATGATCACTGCCATAACATCTTTGACATACCATGTCAAAGAAGTAGTCCTGGGTGGTGTTTTTTCATGTTTTAACATGGAATCAATCTTTGTTGAATAGGCTTACACAACTCTGGCCCATGTGCTAGGAATACCATCACTGACCCTTGGGCAAAAACAAATCTAAAAGTTCGGGAATTTGGGAACTCTTAGCAGTTGACTTCCTCTAGCTTGCACAGAAAGCTAACAAGACTCTGGTACAGAGCTGTAAAACGTGGACTGCTTTGTTAAATCTGGTGCCTGGCATGCAGCAAGTGTCAGTGGAGTAATTACCCATGAGTTATTCTGCAATTATGCCTGGTACCTATTGGCTACATTACCCCTTCTTCTTTCGGGTAAACTCAGATCTTGAATAACAAGGAAAATCTCCTTGCTCATTAGCAGGTTGTACTGCAAAAGGGAGCAAAAGACCTTGTCATCTCCTTATTCCCTGGCTGAGCCATGTGTAGCACCAACATCCCAAGAGAAAGCTCTGGGGAAAAGCCAGGCTTGTTGAATGCACGCAAATTGCAGTGCTTTTAAGGTGACATCATTCCTCCTACTGCTTGGCCCACACCGTCTTGATGTGGGTCAGACTGTAAATGACATAATTTGGTTGCCACCATGCTAAACTCTGCATTCCTCTGACTTGAAGGGAGAAAGTTTCTTCTTCCTTTCTCATCTGGCTTCAAATGGGAGTCTCATGAATGCTGTGGATTTAGTGTGTAGTTTTATAATTGTGGTTTTATTTGAATTGCCACAAAAATGTTGGGTGAGATTAAACACAGGCTTTTCCTTTTGAAGAGGTCTGTGCTTAATATGACTTTTACACCCTGTTTTCTCACTAACTTTTAATTTTTTTCTCCTGGAGTCTAGTTGCAACTCCAGCTCCTACACTGCAGTTGTGAGAGCCTTTCCTTGGTACTGTGGTACTGCGCTAAGTGATATTTATGCATAAACTTTTGCTAATTGCTGATTCCATTGGCATTCATGAACTTGCGCTGGAATGAATGAAACTTTCATTCATGTTTATATATTAGTTTCCAACATTTGTATGTTTGTAATCATCAGGCTAAAACCCGCTGTCATTTGCAGAGATGTAGACTGAGGGTAACTGAGTCAGGAAATATACTCTATTATGTACATGGAGAGAACTTTTTTCTAGTATCATTTAGAGTTGAGCTTATAACAGAAACTCCCCAATTCGATAAATCATTGTCGTTTGTTCAAGACTGGTAACTATGGTTATGGCTACATTAACAAGCAGTTTGGATGAACAGAAGTCAATCTCTAGATCTCATTTTGCACTGGGAACGTCTACAGGTCACTGGGACTCAGTACAGATAAGCTCCAAGCTTGCTCCCATGCACGAATGTTCTGTTACCGCTGCAGCTCACCTCCCAGGCTAGTTCTGCCCAAAGAGAAACCCGGTCAGGACCTGCAGTGCCCTTCCGGATGCCAACCTGTGCTCAGAAAGCAGGCAGACATTGAGCATTGCCTGAAAAGCGCTCTCCTGATCCACTAACGAACGCGCAACCGCGGACACACCCTACGCGCAAATTACAGAGACTTACATGATTAGAATATCTCTGTGGCAATCCCTACCCATCAACAGTTTTCCCAGCCATATAATTGCTACTATTAACAACACAAGTTCCCAATTTAACAAATGGAAGTAAGATAAATGCCCGCATCATTCTGGCTTCTCCCAGCTTTATGATTCAGAGCGTAGCAATCTGTTGCCCTTGGTCTTTTGGAAATAGTGCCCATGTGATAATTTTAATGACAATGCAGCACTACTTCTGGTCTGTTCTGGATATCTGAGAGCTTTGACTGCTTTTTCATAGAGGAGGTTCTGATGGTCAAGTGAATTGTGTCCATCATATGCCAAGGACCTGTACCTTATTCCCTTCTACTCAGCTGCCCACAACCTTCCTCGCCTTTTGCACTTACCAACAGCTAACTCAGCACAGAGATTCAAAACTGAGGAGGACACCTAAACAGTCTGGAATCAGCAGGGAGAGGAACAAAGGAGGTTTCTGCTGTAGAATCCTGGGGGAGGATGGGTGGTAGGAAGCGGTGATGTGACACATTGCTTAGGTTTTATGTGTCCTTTAGCATTGCTGCCTCGCACAGGAACAGTCACAACTGCCTGCCTCTTCAATATCCTACTATCTTTTGGCACTGGCTCTGGTTTGAATGCCTCCAGCATGGGAAACCAGGTTTCCTGACTCCTTGTATTCAGAAATTTTATCAGTCCTCCCCTCATGTCTTGCCCTGCTGTTGCAAAAAAGCATCACCTGTGTGCATCGCTTTTTTATTTTTATCCTTTATCCTCCTCTGAAACTGTTAACATGCTGCTGCCCATCAGCTGCTTCATAGGATCTATTTCTGTACATGCTTTGAATCTCACCTGTCCCTGAAGTAAGTGTAAATCATGTCAAGTAAAACTACACACCCTTAGAAAGCAGACAGAGCCCCAGACAGAGAGTGGGCCAACATGTAGAAGGATAATATCACCTTAAAAACACTAATTACATGCATTCAACAGGCCTGGCCTTTTCCCAGAGCTGTCTCTGGGGACGCTTGTGCTACGTATGGCTCAGCCAGGCAACAAGGAGAGGACGAGGCCTCTGGTTCCCTTTTGCTGTCTAACTTGCTAACGAGCAAGGAAATTTTCCTTCTTATTAGAGCTCTGAGGTCTGGATAGCAAACCAGTGGCACTTGCTCATATAGTTTGTCCATGGTAAAAGAAGGGCAGCTATATTGGCCCAATCCCTGATCACGCTGGCTGCCCAGCAATACTCTTTTGAGTAGTTCTTCCTCAGGAGTCCACTATTACTGATGGGAACAGCTTCTGTAAGCAGTTTTTTAACATGGGTCACAAGAAATGCTGAAAAAAAAGGGGGAAAAAAGCCGAGGAAAAGGTCGAGGTAACTGATAATGGTTTTATGCAGTGACCAAACAGCTTTTGAAAGTCGATATATCTGCACAGACCAGTCCTGCTCACAGTATCTGCACACACATCCCACTACAAAGCGACATGCAGATTCATCGATAAGCACTAACACAGGACTGCTGCTCAGACTCACACAAGTTCTTCGTACAGGATATTGCACTTGCAAATACAAATATCCCTCAATCAGTGAGAAATTCTGAAAAGGCGATGCTCTTCCACTTTGTTTTTAGGCCAAATCTATCAGGACCTGAAATTACTAAAGCTTCAGTCATTACGATTACAATGATGAACAACTTCAGTCAACATAAAATTTCAGCTTCCTCAAACGGCCAGCTATATCTTGACAAAGTTTATAACTGAAGGTTAAAGCTTACTTCGTTTAGAAAAAACAGGTAAGACTGGGGCAATAGAAAGGTCTGTGATCACACAGATGTGAGAAAACAAGGCAGAACCTGGTTTATTCAGCTTCACCCAGGTCACGTGATATAATTAATTCCAAATGGTTTTGGTCTCTGTACAGAAACTTCCAGCAAAATATTTAAATGATGTAATAATTACCTTTTTCCTTTCATGATCCTTCTGACTATACCTTAAATTTATGATGCTTTTAACTAGCATACATGTATCCTGAGGCTATGATGGGTGCACATTTATTTAAGTCAAAAGATAAATCTTAATTAAAGGTTTTTTTAACACAATAATTAACGTATTTTGATCATCATAACAGTAATTATTAGAGGCACAAAAACAGAATCAGATCTCAGCAGAAGCCATGAAGATCCTAAATAGGGTGGAGCACCAGCACTGCCCTATTATTTTGCCAAGAAATAATACATCAAAGTGGCAGCAGTGAATCATCGTATACTACTAGGAACTACACCCAGTGAATCCAAGAGATGGAAATAATAGATGCACTAACCTCCATCATAAACTGCAAATTATAATTGCAGAGCAGATAGTATGTGATATGCCTTTTCTCACAGTTATCAAGCTAAGCTTTCCTTATGCCTCCCCCAACACGATCACTCACCAGATTAAAACAACAAATGTGGAAGAACCACAAAACCATAGGCATTTGGCTTGGTACGAAAGGTCCATCTATTTTTAAGAACACAGTTTTATCCTGTGAAGCATTATAAGCTCTCGCCATGTGTGAAATAACACAGTTGGGCAGCCCCATTCTTTTAGAAACATCTTTTTTAAAAAAAATCACTTTTTTTTGTTGGATTATACACACCTGCTGTCACCCTCCATTAGCAGAAATGACTAGTATTCTGATTTTCTGCCCAGCTATTAAATCAATGTGCCCATAGACAGGCAGGCAGACTGTAACTTGCAGCCAGCCCTTTCGCACTAGCACACAGAAAAGAAGTAAAAAAAAAAATTAATACATTTTTAAAAAATATCCTATTCATTTTACTCATTTATGTCAGATTTACTTTACGAATTACTTTCCTCAAATTAAAAAAAAAGTTTGACAATACACAAGGGGACCTTATATGAAAGAAGATGACGGCAAAAAGACAGGAAAAAAGAGTTCCTTAAAGAAAAGGATGTAGCATGGTACCTTTTCCAGTCAAAGTTTCTTCTTGTATTTTCCTCACCGCTTCTTGGCCCTCACTCTCACTGTTTCCAGCTGTTGTAATACAAAAAATGGAAAATTAGTGATGCAATCGAGGACAGTGAATATAAGCATGCCGCTGTGAAAGGCTAAGCCCAGTGTAAAAGGAGTATGAAGTTTTAGGTGAAAAGGCGTGATTCGCTACTGCCAGGCAGCAGATGCTGCTGAAGAGGGCTGTACAAATGCAGTGCTGTTCACACAAACTCTGCCTGTTTATCTCATTTATTCATACAAGATACGACCATCTGCTGGATGGACCAGCAGAACTGAGAGGGGAATGTGTGAGCCAAGTGAATTGTATCACATAAAAGGAAAAGGAAAAAACCACAAGCTCAAGCAAAATATTGTGCTTGGTAGTACAAGTTATTTTTTTTAATGAAGTTTAACATTCCATTTATCCATCTACAAACATTTTCCATAGCATGATGCATCAAAATACTTATTGTTAATTACGTATATTTTATATAAATACCGATATTTCTTATGAACTCCATGAAGTTTCTGCCTTCTTTTCCTGCTTATATAAATCTCTGCCTTGGGTTCCATACAGACTTTATCTTGTGCCCCTCTACAAGTGACTCTCTAACAAGCTTCACTTTTTAGCTACGCAGCACAAATTTTAGGTTTTCCACATTTTTTCTCACATTTTTTTAGTAACAGTGAATAAGCTCTATCAAAGACAGGAAAGAATCACAGCGTCACAGAACAAGCTGAAGTCGGAAGGGACCTCAGGAAATCATCTGCTTCAACCTCCTGCTTAGTTAGTTTATACGTGCTCGTATTTACTTTAAGGTGTTAGAACATGCTTTATAGTGCTATTAAACTGGATTCATTTGATCCCACGGAGAATGTGTTCAAAAACTGGGAGCAAACCCTTTGAGACAGCTCATGTGTCATCCATTGGTTGTGCTAGCTGAAGGCTCAGAGCACTGAATGGAGATTTTTGGGACAACCTGACCACCTTGAGGAGGTAGGCTAATGCATTCGTTTGAGGATGGAGTTTTTGCCATGATCCTGCAGTAAAAAACAATGATTTGCAGCACATCCTTGTTTTAATGATATTCAGGAAGACTGTATATTTACATAAATGTAACCAAAATAAAGACATTTAGCATTCCAGATACTGGAGAGAAAATAATTCTCACATAAAAACTAGAGTCATGCTGGTATACGGCTATCCTCTATAAAGCTCAGACTGACCAAGACAGAAAGAAAGGAAGGAGAATTAAAAAAAAAGAAAAAAGAAAAAAGAAAGGAAACATTTGCCGTATTTTCTCCATGTTGTTGGGTTTTTTTTCCCCTTTAAAACCATCCAGCCTTGTACAGAACAGAAACTTTCATTTTGATGCTAATTTCCAGATACAGATGCAGTGTCAAGAAACAAACCCTCAAGTGAAACTGCCATTTCTGGGGAAATCTGTGCACAGGGCTTATGGGCAAGGGATCAATTTTCCTCACTGTTACACCTCAAGTGATGTACTAGAGTAAGATTTCAAACCCAGTGTATTATTACGCCAGATAGAGTTAGGCTAGAAACAAAGATACTTTGGTGACAATTCTGTGAAGGTTTTACTTGATTCCTCTTTCATTCGGCACTCCTGACACAGAGAATGGGCTTATTAAAGCCTCCAGTGCCTTGATTTAACTCTCAGTATGTTCACTTAATTTGTTCTTTTAAAGAGGTTGTGCTCACAATAAATTTTAATTTGCTTTATTTTGCTGTTATATAAATGGTTATTCATTAAAGCTCAGTGCCTTCCAAATGAGTTCATTTTATTCATATCTGCATATTTTTCGCTCTAGACCACTGGGAAAAAATAATTGTTTTTCTAAACAGTCACTTCAAATGTCTGTTTCCAGCCTGATTCAACAGAGAGTTTGAAAACCAGATTATGGAGGCTGGAGTATGGCAAAATTGAAATATCCTCAGTGAAAGCTACTTCTGTAACGGAGGCTTTTGAAAAACTTCTTTCAAAGCAAATACTGAAAGAAAGAATGAAGACGCTGAACAAATGACCAAAATCCTTACAAAAATTTCAAAGACACATATATCAGAAAGATACCATCAGACAGGAAGAGTAATCTAAGCTTCTGAGTTAACTTAAGGAGATCAGCCCCTCCTTGCTGAGGATGGGTGGGAGAGGAAAGGGACACCGCACTGCTGTGCTGCTTCTCTCCCAGTACGTCTTCCTGGGATTCCCTAAGTAAAGTGAGTGGAAGTCATGAAAAAGAGCAACGTCCCTTTAAGTGCTGCGTTAATTATTCAAAATTCAGAAAATACTTTTTAAGCCACCAAACTAACACAATCAGCTTTAGGTTGGGAAAAATCCAAAAGAAGGGTCACTAAAGGGCACAACCTTCACATGTACTGGAGTACAACACACTAAACTAAGGAGGGGGACAGTTTACTTACTATATGAGGGTCAAATTCTTGTCACCATCAGCTGGTTCAGAACCTCAGTAGCATGTTTGCAGTGATTCTTTTAAAAAACGTGTGATGTACAGGAGAATCCTCTGGATGGACTTTTTGCCAAGGATTCACCATAATTTTCCTATATTCAACATGTCAGAATTAATCCATTTTAACTGCGGTAGCATATGTATCGTAAGATCTGCCTACTCTGGATTCAAGTGGTTTGGAGGGCAGGATAAGAAAGGGAAGGCAGATCGTGGGGTTTACGCAGTGAGGGAATCCGAACAAAAGTTTTGAGAAAAAGGGATTCAATGTCTTGAGAGCTTAGATCATCAAAGTACCCAAAACCATGATAACCTTGCTTTTCATGCAGATTTAAAGTCTCTCTTGGGAACTCAAAATAGATATAGTTGTCTACTGTTTATGCAAGCTGCTCAGTGCCCTGTCTAATGTTTTTCTTCTACTTAGTCCCCACAGAATAGTGAAAAATTCAGGTGAGACTGATTCAATAACAACGCTGACTACAATCAATTCTGAAAATAAAACTAATAATATAAATTCAAGTCTGAATGGATGTACCTGTATAGAATAAGATGTCAGTTTAATGGCATGAAAATTCCTGTATATTAGAAAAATACTGAAACTCATGTTGGAGATTAAATAAAAGATGAAAAATAGATTTAAATACAACATTTACTCAAAATGAGGAGGTGATTGGTGACAGCCAGCATGGCTTCACAAAGGGCAGATCATGCAAACGAATCTGGTGGCATTCTATAATGGGGGACCTTGGTGGATAGAGGACAGGCAACTGACGTCATCTACCTGGACTTGTGCAAAGCCTTTGATACTGTCCCGCATGACAACCTTGTCTCGAAACTGGAGAGACATGGATATGACAGATGGACCGCTCGGTGGATAAAGAACTGGCTGGATGGTCTCACTCGGAAAGTGGTGGTCAATGGCTTAATGTTTGAGTGGAGATCAGTGACGAGCGGT